GTTCGGCAACTATTCACAGCATGTTCGAAACTCGCAGTGAAATGAAATGAAAGCCAAGGTGAGCAAGAGGAAGAAGCGGGTTTCTTGCTGCGATCGATTTCATCAGAGTCCTCGTCCCCTCCAAGTGAAAATTTCTTGCTGCGTCAGGACCGCACGCAAGGTATTTTAGTCACCCCTATGTATCCATGGGTTTATTTCAATTTAAAGCTTGATTGTTGTACGTACAGGAAACTTCAGTCAGTAACTAGAGAGTTGATGCAGATTTGAAGCCAGTCGCATTTGAGATGTATTCTGCGGGTCCTGGCGTCTTCCTGTCCGCATTGACGCGATACTTCCTGGCAGAAAACCGAGTATTATCAGTACTTACATTGATTAAACATGTACCGAGAATGTATTTCTATACTATCTCTTTTTAACTGGAGAAGTCTGGTGATAGCCAGATCATCGTAGGCTAACATGGATAAGCAAACTTGAGATTGGGAAAACGCTGCACTTTCCCGTACCAAAGAAATACTACATATCAAATACGGCCATGCGTGGGCTCTTTATTTAAACATTTATGACGCAAATATGCCCATGTCATGTTTTGGTCATATGAAGTCCCTTAACTCCTTCCAGGCATGTCCAAATACATCCTGTACATACGACTGTATTTGGTACTTCCGTAAGATTTACTGTGAAGGAGGTCTCCCACCGCCGTCTTTGGTGCACGCGCTATTTCAAAACTTTCTTACCATATTGGGCTTTCACAGCTTGCCCCGGTTATTGTTACTATGTCTCCTTTGTGACAAGATGTCGTGAAGGCCCTCTTACCAAAAAAAGAAAGATAAAGGACGAGGCATCAGATCCGTATAAGTATCCTTACTTTCTCCGAGGGTCGTCTCAAGACTTTGATTAGGAATATATTTCTCGTTTGTTCTCGTTTGTTCATCACAGGTTATTGTGGTCAGCGTTGTCGGGTACGACGAATCGAGTGAAAGCATCTGCTCGTTCCGAATTGCGAGGCGAAGCCAATGGCTCCGCAAGTGGGTGAGAAAAGACGCTGACCTTGCGTTAGAGAAAGCGTATTTGACGAGGTGAGCACTCTGTGACCACACTCTTAGTCATATCAGTGGGCGTGGGAGCGCTTTTACCATGAGGGCAGACACCTTCCCTCCCTCTAAACCTCAAGAAATAACGCATCTCTTACGATCTTACTTTGACCAATTTACGTGCCTCAGTTAGGTGTTATGTCCTGCGAATATCATCTTTTTTTGTCCTTCGGTTTCCTATATCCGTGGGGTTGAAATTCCGAGAAGGCGATCTCGCTTCTTTTTCCTTTCTCCCTGCCTCCCGGCTCAGTTCTCGCTCCTCTGCGGGATCCTCGAATTACAGTAATGATTCCAATGTTGGGTATCAGACTATGCACTAAATACCCTAGAAAATAGTAAAAGTAAAATTTTCGCTGAGCGGAAATTTCACGGTTTTTTTTTAGAAAGTCGACTGATTCGTTGGCTCTAAAATCCTGTTCACGTCCTTCCTTTCTACATGAGCTCGTTTCCCTCCTTGCCGTTGCGCCACTGAAGGAGGAACTCTATTTAATCAGGATTACTAATTCCACGTGATAGCATCACTTTGATATATGTTATACGCCTCAATCAAGCCTCAAGGTCTCTGTTTGTTCCTCCTTTCAGAAGCCACTTCTCAATTAGCTCCTCCTCCAGGATGAGAGTAAATACGGCTTAGGGATTCGAGTTCCCGGGCTCCTGAAAATGCACAAGTGTAGAAACATACACACTGGAGCACGTATGCCATTCGCATTTCGTTGAGTATTTAATCCACAGGACCCTAATTCACCGTTATTTGAATTGTGATAATCGCGAAAATAAAACCCACGCGAATAGGGGTTTACAGTAATAAGAGGAAACGGGAGGCCTTGGAAGTCAAGGAGACTAAGAAATGAGAGGAAGTCCATCCTGAGCTGCAGATTGGATCCTTCTATGGGCACGCCGACTGGAACCGATGTTTCTCATCGGCTCTTTCTAGCTTTCCTTTTAGATGCGAAAGCGATTTGCGCGGTAGACCTTTTTATGTACGATCTTATCTGGAAAAGTCGGAACATTTTATTATACCATTAAAATATCCTTAACATGAAACTACGGTCATTTATTCTATATCCCCCTCCTCCCCTTCCGACTGCAGTCGTTTTACACCGTTAACGTGAATACTCGCGGATGAAAAAGAAGCTATTAAAAAAATGTATAGAAATTCAGTCACAAGGACAAGGAAAAGCCAGGGAGTGGGGAGCCCATTCTGTAAATGTGCTCAATTCCCAGGCGTGCACTTTTCGTGATGGGAGGCCGGGGAGGGAGGAGGTATTGACAAGCTTTGCTCCCTCCCTCGGCCTGGCAACGCTTAGAATCAACTTTGTCAACGTTAGCGCGTCGAAGGAGGGTCTTACTAAAGTTTGAGCTAGGGTCGGGATCGTTACTCAAAAAAGGGAACTTCTTGCCGTTATTCTTTCCTTTCCGAAAATTTTATTAGTTACCATTATCAGTTAACTTCTCAACGAGTATCCGTCACTCATTACTTTGAAACTTCGAAAACTCATCCAGGAGACCAAGGGAATATGAACTTGGAATAGTTATCAATCAATTCTGTTTAAGAATAAAAACTTGTATGCGAACAAAATACTCGTGCTGAAGTGTGCGTGAATGATAAAAGGTTTGTTTCTCTCATTTTCAAAAGTCATCAGAAGTTAAAGCGCTTCCACATGGGTGCTACCAATTTGAATGCATATATTCCATCTATGTCCTGCAGTCTTCACAGAATTCTGCTACATTTTACATGGAATGGCACCCTGTTACAACTTTGACTTTGTATTCAAGCTGGGCCAGGTAACGAATACGAGAGCTATATATCTCTGTTTTGACATGATTCCCCCCCCACCCCATAAAAAAAACACACACACACACGCACGCACGAGTCAACATCCAGTGATCGGATTGCCTACTCCATCTGAGAACATCTTCCAATCTTTGAGTTACAAGACGATCAGGCTTTGATTTATCGAAGACACTTTCAGTTTTCATGATTTTTCGTAAAATATGTAAATGGTGCGGCGAGTAGGCACAGCATGACCTGGAAACAAAATTTGAAATTCCACCTGTTAAGACCTTGTTAATCTCCATCAATCAGGCAATCTTCCTTTGTTTCATAGTTGATCACCTGTAAACCATTCTAAACCAAATTAGGAGCAAAAAAAGTTTGGGTTTGCTCTCCAATAAGGCCCAGTAATATGCTTTCATCTTAAAAAACCTACAAGTAAAAGAAGAAAAAATTGCATACTTACTTCTGGGTCACCCTGTATAATGGAGACAAGGCACTGGACGAAGGGCCAATGGAAGGGGGAGGGGATGAGGGGCGTTCAACAATCGCTAATGAGTGACACTCAATTTCTCTTTTTAGCTAATTTCCCCAGTCGACTGCGAGCAATTATTAGGAGCTAGCTGTAACGGTAACGCTACCATTTTGCTCGAAATTTGGAACGCATTACTGCCTTTCGTTACGCCTGGGGAGAAGGAACGTGTTTCCATTTCTCGTTTCTGACTTTTGTTACATCTATACTGTATCACGTTACTGCACAATCCTGGTTATGGCCAATGGAAATGATTTTCCTCGCATCCTCATCTGAGCATGCCCACGTTAGGCCTAAGGACGAAACTAACTGGTCCTGACTTAGATGTATTAGAGGCGTGTAGCCCCCATACAATCCTTGACAATCGAATGAACAAGAAAGAAAAAAGCGCTTCCTGGCAATGATCGCAGAAGTAAATTCATGTTGACAAAGATCTGAACTTCAATAAGTTGTGGACGCCACTGAAAAACTTCTTTGTCAACCTGTAACCTAAAAACTGAAATGATTACATGTCCCCACCCACTGGCACTATGTACCCTTCAGCATTAGTCTTATTTTATTTATTATTACTTTATTATTGCTTCCTTTCTATGCTGCACCCTGCAACCTGTTCTATTTTCCTCTCTGCCATTTATGTCTTTTCGTGTTCTTTATGTCGTTTCTTGTCATTTATGTTTTTCCTTATCATTCCCCTGATTTCCATTTCTTCTGACTTTATTTTTTTCTCCTTTCTTACACTTTCCTTCTTTTCCTTCTTTATTCCTTGCCATATCCGCTCTCAACCTCTCTCATCTCTTTTGTTTCCCTTGAAATTGAAGGTTGAAAAGATCCGAAAAGAATTAAAATAATAATAATAATAATAATAATAATAATAATAATAATAATAATAATAAACTTCATGTTGGCTGCCTCCTCCAAGATAATGTCGCTGATTTGGACTTTATGAAGCTACAGGTGTTGGAAGTGCAGAATGCTCCTTGGCCTTGGAGCCCTTTTTATCAGATCGAATCTATTATATTTGCCTTTCCCTATGAGGTGACTGACAGAGGTGGATGTGCTATCCCACAGGGAGTCACTCTTATCACCTGCTTCGCGGGAGTCGACATGCATATGCATGATTCATCGTTCAGCTCACTCACTACATCCCTGTGGCACGAAATCGTTCGAATTTCTTGGGATGGAAGTCTAATATGATCATAACAACCCTTTCCGAGGATAATGATGCCACGGTGCTCGTGTCTGGTGTAAATGATAATCAAGGAATAATCCGAGCGAGCGGAGCCGAGAGTGCGGCGGACATGCGCTGCCTCGGAGGGGTAGGGAGAAAAACCTGATCCGCGCTGGCCTCCGCTATCCAGTCTCTGTGCTTCTGTCTTCAGTCATGCTCCGTGCTGTCGGGGCTCGCGGCAGATGTGACTTGAGTTCGTGAACTGGGGGCTTTTCTTCGACTGGGGCTAATCCCGTCCATTAATGATGAATTAGATGAGCCCCGAGGCTCTAATTACAGACTGATCTCCGTTTCCGGTCAGGTGCAACAGTGCATTGCAACGATGCGGTTTGCACGTGTATTTTGTAGATAGGCCCTCCCTTATTCTTCTCAGCCGTCGACGCATGACGAGGAGTGTTTTTCCACCCTTGTTTCCTCGCCTTTCAGTGGCCTGCGGTGGAAGAAACCCCTTTTCCTAGCTGATGTACTGCGGAACTTCGCCTCTGCGCCTATTCGACTCGCAGTCGCGGTCCGTGTTGAAAGGACAGGAGAACTGTTGATGCGGAGTGTATTCGACCATGAGGGAGTGAGGTGTGTCTCACGATGAAGTGACTGTCCTCACGGCATGGTGTCGGGCGTTGCAGGGAATAAGCTCCTCATCGCCGGAGTCCTTGTGGCCATTCATTACCTCATGCTCATCCACGTGAGTTATTGACTCCATTCCCTCGATTTATACCCGGAAACTCGGGCAACTTGTCCCTCTCCCCCTCCCAGCGGGTGCATTTCATGGTCCCTCGTCTCATTTGAAATTCTAACTGTTGGTACTCTCGTTAATAAGAGTAAAGCGGGAATTCTCGACAGCTGCGATCACCTCCGACGTGTGTAGAGGGGTCTTGTGGCCATGCCCAGGTGGCATGAATAGGAAAATGAGAAAGAGTAGTGATGAAAGGCGCCAGCCGTCTCAATGACGCCTGGCCTGCATTTGGATTTCTTTGTCTCCTTCAACCCTTCAAACGCTGGTTCGCATTCAGACTAGGGTAGAACGTTAACAGCGATAACGCTCGTATTGGTTTGGCATCTCGTCCTGGATCTTATAGGAGGCAAATTTTTCTCTTTCCGTGGGGAATTGGGGTCACTATTGCCAAGAGAGATAGTGTTTTTGAATAGAGAATGGCCCATGCCACGCTATAGACGAAATATTGCGCTCCTCGTATGACTATCATTTATTCAGCTCATAAAGTAATCATCAGTCGCGTTCTCTAGTGTCGGAGTTTCGTGATCAAGTGATGCCTTGCATTAAAAGATATGCAGCCTAGAGTAAACATATATCATCGACCGGTAGCTTTATGGGGAAGGGGGTGGGGGGTGAGGGATTTTATGCGTCTTTACGGAAAGGTCACGTGCAGATGGCTATCGGTCAGCAAAGACCTTTGCGTCCACACCGATTGCTGTCAGTGTAAGCAATCTCATGTGAGATTGTCGTCGACTTTTTTTTTCCGCACTGGGTGTGCGAAAGTCGGACTTGGAAACGTGGACAGGATGATGGAGCGAGCCAGACCCGGTGGCCAGGGAAGGAATTCCAGAGAGGAATTTTTGAAAAGGAAAAAGGGCCGCCATTGCATAGACAAGGGTGTCTAATGCATCTTTGGAGGAAAAGGAAAGGCGTGGCCCATCGTTTCCATCTTCCGAAAGAGAAAGAAAGATACGGGTCTAACGACTTCCATATCTATAATACACGTGTCTTTCTTTATCCAAGGCGTGGCCAAGAATATATGTTGTATTATTCACCCAGAAACATACTCGATGAAACCAGTCTTTGCTCCCCTATATGCGTTGAAAGGTCTTTGTGAATAATTCAGCCGCCTTTTTTAGCTTTTTCTTTTCAAGAGATTTCCACTGGAGATTTATTTTTGTTAGGGCGGGGTTTTCTGTGTAGAGACTACATGTCGCTGCGAAGGAGGAACATTTTAATCAATTGAGCTCCGCCTTCCAGGATTCCCTGCCGAGTTGATTAGCATTTTTGCCAGGAAGCTGAGACCCCATGCTGACCTCAGCACGACTTCTTCCTTCCCTCTTCGATTTTCTTCCTTCATTCTCGCGTCATTCTTCCGCAAACAATATCCGATACCCCACATCGATCCCAGATTCCGCCTAGTTATTCACCACAAGCTATATGCTGGCGTGATGAGATCCCTGGCAGAAGGCAGATAGGCTTTTTGTCCGAGGGAGGTGACAAATGTGGAGAGATCCGTTTCTCGGAGATGAGAAAGGCAAATGATATGAAGCTTCCATAATGGCTGTGTACCAGGGAAGAGAATGGATGCTTTGCTATTACAGAAAGCCGTTTTCGGGGAAATTTCATCTGCTAGAAATTGCAGGCCGTGAAATACATGACAGCCAAGAACCAGCGATTATCATGATGCGAAAAATTCACGGAGGAAAAGGGGAAGAAATCCATTTCTTGGATTGAGCATTCCTTCCATCCCTGTCGCCAATGTTTTTTTTCTTCTTCCTTCCTTGCGTCTTAAAAGAAGCAGGGTTATCGCATCTCCCCACCATTTTTTTCCTAGCTTTTTCTACAGCCGTAATATAGTGTAGGGTGTGTGACATAGAGTCTCATTTTATGGCCGGCCCTGGCCCCATAAAATACAGACTATGTCCGGATAAGAAAGCGAGAAGTTTGGCATAAATGTCGCCTTATCGGTGCCAGAGGAATGTGCCAAACCCGATCCTATTCACAACATATAGTCCCCATCCCGCCCCGATATTATCTGTCCTTCTCGGATACGCTTTCACACAATGAAACATAAGGACTACGACCGTCACACAATGAAACATAAGGACTACGACCGTCACACAGTGAGGAACACCAGTTGCAGTCCATTGGTATTCGACTGAGTGACAAATGAGGGCTGCAGACAATGACACGATTTGGGGAAGTCTCCTGAACCATTCTGTCTACTGTGTATTGTAAAAGTTCCCTGTCCTTGGGGAAATAGGATATAAATACATCTGGAAATCCGATAAAAGGAGGAGGAGTAGGTACACACAGGGCATCGTTGACTTTTCTTCAATGCGCCATTCGAAAAAAAAGTGAGCGGTCGAGAAGCATGGAGCGGGAAGTACTCCCCCATCTTTCCTTCATCGCACTATCGAGAGTCCTGCAAGAGTCCTCGAGTATTGTATATTGCATGGAAGAAGACATATAGAGCTTTCCAACGACATAGAAAACGCCATGATCGCAGCACGCAACTCCGCCCAATGATCGGGAAAATAAGGGCTATAGGCACTAAAGACACTCGTGGGAGAGCTCAGTTGCTTTTTTTATTTTCTGGAATGGAGTACGATAATCTCTCGTTAGGCGAGGGCCCTCGGTATCAATGACGGGAGTTCCCATTCAATCTTGAATCAGGAAGAGCTCTATAGAGAGTACAGGGGTTCCATCACGAAATCAATCCAGATGTGAGAAGGAAATACGAGAGCGAGGGCAGGAGATCTCGACCTCACTAATCATAATCTTTATGGAATGATTCCACGGGGCGTAAATCAGCGTGTGGCCTCCTTTCATCCATACGTGAAGGAAATCGGCTCATTCGTATGGAGGTCCAGGGAAATGCCAGGCTGAGTTTTCATTCCTCTCCGGTCATGCATTCCGTGATTGCCACGCTGCATTTCTTTTATTGGTGCCAATTCCGCCAGCCGACTCCGCTCTCACCACGAATAAAATATGACACCTGAGATTGTCACGTAACGTTCCTGCTTTTCCCCTCCTTTCTCCGGCGCGGAGGGGAGGAACAATAGAGGCCATATAGGCGGGAAATGGCACGGAAGAGAACGAGTCTGCTGTGAGTAAATATGGGGCGAAGACGAATCGATGGAATGAACCCTGTGCTATGACATGGAAGTCTCAATCGAGGAAGGAATTTACGGCCTCAATCGAGGTGAAATGGTTTATGGCTTTATCCGGTAAGAATAGAGTGCATCTCAATCCTTCTCTCGTCCTCGGGAAAAGCCTTTACCCTTGCCTATGCCTCATCTTCGCATGGGGACTCCGCACTCCTCAGCTTTATGGCCCCTGTCGCCCTTCCTGTCTCCTGGGACTCATGCCAGAGGCTCTCCCTCTTCTTCTACAGCTCTGCCCATTCTCTCTCCCATATACTCCCGTGTACATAGATTCACTGCAAATTACCCGCAACTTGCCTGTGGGAAAAATGTTGAAACAGAGCGGAGACTTTCTAAACATTGCCTAAACCCGTGTTTCCTCTCCCCTCCCCCCCGTAATTTAATTGACCCCGGGGATGAACCTGAGAGATAGGATCAACATTAAAAAGACTGGCTGACTGCTCTTAATAAGAATGAAGTACGTCTGGAGGGCCCGAAGGTACATCTTCTTGCATGATTGTGGGAAAGCACGCAGCTGTCCAGATAGAAGGGAAAAAAAAGTCCCAAAGAGAAAGAGAGAAGGAAAAAAAATACATGGAGAGGACCCTGGAATAATCGGACTCCGGACGCAGTGAGATGGAAGGAAGGAAGAGAAGGGGGAGGGAGGGTTTCGTTAGGGTCGGAGAATATGCTTATACTGTATAAGGAAAGGAGGATCTTCATGGTATTTTCCTCTCTTCCTCGACAGGGGGGAGATTCCCAGGAGATTCAAGGGGAATCGGATGGCCCTTCCCTCTCTCGGGTTGAGAACGACAAGGATTCCCTCATCCTCAGGAGCACCACAGACGTCCTCAGAAATCTCCAGGTCTCGTCCTTCATATTTCTTTTTTAAAAGGCATTTCAGATAGGGAGAGAGGGGAGGGGGGATCCAAAAAGACCGAAGAGGAGGAGAAAATGGATCGCGATGAATAAAATATGAAGGAATCCTCTGAGTCATCTAACCAGGAATTACGATCTCAAAGAGAGCCCAATCTCGGTTAGCTCTGATGGAGTTACTTTATTCCTTTGCTCCTTTGCTTCACAATTGCTGCTTTTGCCCGAAGAGCATTATTAAATCCTTGCTTTGTTCTCATGGAATACTCTGATGAGATTTCAGATTATTGTGGATTGGATTGTCCTCCTGTGAAAGCTTTCCGCGTGAATCACTTTATCGAAATATGCGCATCTCTGTGACTCACAGGCTTCGCAGAATGGCGTGAGGGCATATCAGATGGGGGAAGAGGCTTTTTCAATAGTCATATTGGACGGGATTTGGCATTCGATGGCTCTATTAGTGGCTCCCCATAAATCATTCGCACCTTCCTTGTCATGCATGCATTCATGTTTGGGGCTTCCGGCTCTTAACGGCAGTTTGCCACGTTTTAGCTCTAGGGTAGGCCTTTGCCTCAATCACTGCTAACGGCATACCCCTCGTCCTTCACGTTTTCCTTTTTAAATATGAGATAGTGACTGGGTTCTTCATCCCGCATATTTTCCGCATGTCCTGCAGAACACGTGCAACGTACGTAGATTCTCGGGTCGTTTTCACCACTTTCCTTGAACATCAAGTGAACCCCCTGATTGAAATCCTTGAATTCCATGATTAGGCTAACCTCGATGAGGCTGACTTATGGGGGGAAAAGTCACCAGGTTCGTTTCCTTGCTTCCTATTCAACTCATAGTTCTCCGTAGACTCTAAAGTACTTCCACAAATGCCTTAATTTGATATTTCCATATCTCATATAGGGTTTTTTTTTTTCCCCACTGTCAAACATAACAATGACTCAACTTCGCATCTAAGTATATCACTCTATCTGTTTCTTCAGTAACGCCAAAGAAAGCCTTAGGGTGGATTTTTGAACAGAGCATTATCCGATAATGCTGCTTTATTTCAGAGAAAATGCATTCTAAATCCGGTAAATAAAGCAGCATTATCGGATAGTTTTCGTGTCGTGTTGAAAATAATCGAGGATTATTATAATAGAGCATTGTCAAATGCAGCATTATCTGGCCAGTTCAAAAATCGAAAAAATAATGCTCCTCTTTATAGAGCTGTATTATCCAATAGAGCAGGATTATTTTAGAGCTCGGTTCAAAAATCCACCCTTAGAGAAAGCTTCTGAAAAAAGGATATTAATTTAAAAGCGTGGTTTTTGTATGTAATTTTGCAGGACACATCGTTGACGGAAGCAACGAAACTTCTCAGTTCCGCCGATGGGGAGACTTCGGCTGTGCCCGAGCCGACCCCGTCGGACGCGGGCAGTGAGAGTGAGCGTGAGAGTGAACGCGATCGCGATCGGACGACGACGTCGTCGACGGAGGAGGTGATGGCGAGTCCCGAGAAGGGGATCCACGTGAGCATCCAATTCCTCGAAGACAGAGAGACGTCATCCAAACCGGAAGAACCGGCGTCGTCGTCGTCCGAACCGGAAGTGGATTTCACGATGGACGACTCGGACTGGTTTCTCTTGGGACAATGGTCGGATGCCGGATCCCAGAGTTTCCAGATTCCTTCCCCGTCCTGGGATTTCCTTCCCGGGTCCGATACGCCCGGGGACATGTGGATGAAGGTCGACCTCAACGAGGAGGATGATGAGCACGATGAGGATGACGAGGACAAGAATCAGTCCAGTTGGTCTTCTTGGTCGTCCTGCACTGTCTCCTGTGGGAAGGTATGAGAGAAAAAAGTATGCAGGCTCTTGGTCGTGTGGCCCCTCCGCCATTATAGATGCATCTGCCTTTTTGTATGCCTGTATCGTAGAACCAGTATTAGAAGAAACCTGAAGAAACCTTCTCTCCTTTCCTCCCCTACAAATTTTCGTTATGACGATGTTTAAATTGGCTGCGGCGATGTTCATCTGCGTAATTCAAAATTCAATTGTTGCCAACTATTGTGCTGGGGGAAATTAGAAGAAAACTAAGCTGCTCATAATGTTAATTGCATGAGAAATCTTCCCAAACTGGCAGAGATATCTATATGCTTAGCAAAGGGCCTATTCAACGATTTTATTTATTTACATAACATATTTCCCAAAGATAATAGTTTCTGGCATGGCGTAACCGTAACAAGAAACATCTTGCTTTGAACTGTCCGCTTGAGATTTTTATTCCGATGGGCAGCATTGTTTGGGGGGGGGGGGGATCCAACGCTTGTCAAATCGCCTTTGAAATCTTCCGAGTTGACATCCGCATGCATGATGAGATGTCCTTCGATAGTCATTCCGTTCCCTTACGTGGGGGGTCTTTCAGCTGTCTGCAGAGTCGGTACGAAGAACGATCTTTGTCAGAGGTGAGAGCCGAAACGAACGACCTGAGGGATCGTGTGTCAAGAAAAGTTGCGACCGTAAAGAGGGAAGTAAAGACTTCTTTCTTTCATGGTCGGCCGAGACGGCTTGTTTGTGTCAAGCTCAACGAGCGGAACGGGAATTTCGGTGGAGCGTGGAGTAACATTTGTTGTGTGGATTATGCATGAGGGAGAAGTTTCGGCTATATGAACATACAACGGGGGGGAGCAGAGATCGATATTAAAACGATAATCCCGCAATCCATCAAGTCGGCCTGACGGTGGTGCTGCATCTGAGGTTTTTTCCCCTCTCATTCTGCATGAAAGAAGGGGCCAGTCGCCAGGAAAAAAAATCTTGGTCATGAGATCATGCCGGGCCATGCCATATCTCATCCGCCGTCCCTCTTTTCTTCAAGCATTTGATTACGGATTCAGGATTCCCCCATTCATTTGAGTTTTATGAGCCTACAGCATTTTTTTGACTGGTGAATGAATGGATCGTAGATGGAAATTTTTTTCCCCTTTGGTCTGTTATAGGTTAATCTTCTGAACTAGGTCAGAGTACAGCGGACGGACATGTGCCATGCAATGAAATATTAAGGGACTGCCAGTGACACCAATGAAGAAAAGAACCACCACTCTTGTTCGTTTTTATTTAAAGTCCGGAACATCTTGAAAGCAGAAGAAACAATACAATACCAATTTTGTATCATTCAAAAAAGGATTTCCGAGTCGCATTCTAAGCTGCTGACGCTACGATTTTACCCCTTTGTTACAGCTCGTGTATGAGATGTAAGCTCGTATAATCAGGGTCTGTGAAAGAGCTATAGAGATGTGAGTCGCTCGCCTGCTCACAAGGTCACGAGACTTCCTTCACTTTCTTTTGGTCATTCATAGGAAAGATCTTCGCCGATAGGTTAGCATGGTCAGTCAGCATGGCTAGGCGCTTCCCGTCCCGCCGGATGGGAATCATCCCATTTAAGCTGATGGAATCCTTTATGGGTAGCCATCTTCTTGAAAGACGGCTCTAGAGGAATATTATTATACGGATCTTGCTGACACGGCATATAAATTTTGGATGAACTCAATGGTGCTTCTAAGAACAAATAGGCAAGAAGCCTTTACTGAACCGAAATGGGGAACTTGTAATCCGTTTCTCGATAACGTTTCCGTTTTATAGTTAATGGTCTCACGTGTGAACCAGTCACGTATGAGTCGAGTTAAAGCGTCTGATCGGTCCTTAAATGTGTTATGGTGCTCTGAGAGAAAATGTAGCCTCTCCAGCATTTTCTCCCTGCACCACGAAACGACGCTATTCATAGCGTGGCTTTGCAGGGAATGTCGGAGAGGCATCGAAGTTGCGGACCGGGCTGCGTGGAGAGGGCGAGCCGGGAATGCGGACTCTCCCCCTGCCCGACGTCTTCGTCTTTCACTTCCCCCTCACCTCATTCTGCTCAACGTGAGATGTATTCCATTCCGTTTCCTTCATATTCATTCGTGTGAATCCCCTGCGTGGCGGACGTGATCCGAGATCGTGATGGGAGCCGGGGTGGATTCGATTTGGATCGGGCCGTAGGAGGAAAAGGAAGGAGCAATTCTCGCGAGTATCCGCCTTCTCGACTCGTCTTTCACCTCGAGTCATCATTGTTCTCACTCTCTGACGTGTACTTTGGCAATTCATGAGTGAATTCTCGGAAATCTCGTGACGAGAGACATGCGAATGGGAGAAGATTCATTCATTCGGTATCAGATGGATTTCATAGACGAGATTCCCTCGCCTCCCACGAAGGAGGTCCTTTTACGAATATCATGGGCATTCCACAAAGAGTTTCCACCTGATGCACTTCTTAATTCAATAATTTTTGCCAATTGTAACTAAGAAGAGCGATACAAAAATCAGGCTTCCTAAAATATTGCGAATGCCGGCCCTCCTGTCAGGCAGGGACATCTGTTGGCGTTGGGAGAGGATACTGTAGATTCCGTAAAGCTCAACGCGGGCTGAGTGGCTTCAGGAATTGCGGGATAAGCTTTTGGCAATGTTCCGTCCCGATCCCATTATATGGCTCTTAATGGGGGTGGGGACGTCTTGATATCCTTCACCGGAAATCCCGCTCTCTCTGTGTCGAATTAATGTCTCTCCGTAATTGGACAGAGGGAGGCTAAGGCTGGTAATTAGTTCCCAGCGAACGAGATTATAAGGCAAGTGACGAGAGATTATACCCTGGCGTTCTCTCTCTCTATCATAGAGCCTGGAACAGAGGCGACAGGAAGTGTGCCTTCTAGTCTGCAGAAATTCCTACCTATCTTACACAACTTTTTGGAGTCTCTCAATGCTTCCAATGTATCCGCACATTCCGCAGGGGGTAAGTTGGATTCCACATGTTAATTCTGCCTGTTCCCCCCCCCCCCCCCCCCCTCTTTTTAAACTCCAAGCTTCATATCCTATTTCATGAGTCTAACTTCATTTCGCCGAGGGTTGCTCGTGTGACAGATCCTCAACTTGAAAGAGGGAGGTCTCTTTTCCATCAGTGAAAAGCATATGGTCATTAGTCATGACTCCATGCATTAATATTAGTTGACTCAGTCATACTGAGGAAGATTTCTCTTAGGCAGAGAGAGTGTGTTTAATTAATGTGTTTTTTCTGAAAAATATACTTTTCTTCTTTTACCGGGGAACAGCAGTCACCAAAAAAAATAATTATGGATGAAAAGAATTGTCAGATATGAAAAGGTAAGACCATCGGATGAATGCGTCGCATGAACAGCTCGAAGAGGCAACGCTCACATGTGGTTGTGATGCCAGCAAATCAGCCGATCGATAACTCCTTACCTTCTCATCTCCATCCCTGAAAACGGTTCATTTCACTCCAAAGGGACGGGGGGAAATTTCCACTTTCCGGCAATTAGTCCTTGTCTCCAACGGGGATTTGGCAAGGGAGTTTTTTCCCCTTCGTCGAACCGCTCTGTTTCGCTGCATCGCTTTTTTTGCGTTCCAAATGAAGGTCTGGAAAACGGTCTGGAAGGAAAACTGGTTTATCTGCAAAAACAAGTCTTCCCTCTTTTTAAAAATAGAAGGATGAAGAATCTGGTGAGCGAGGAAAAGTGAGACATGGCTGTAATGCTTTTATTCTACGAAAGACCAAATTGAGATATAGATTGAGTTATGTTCGAGGATCACAGATACTACCGAAGGTCGTATAATAAGCCGTGTCCGTTTATTAATGAGACTTTTTACACTGCATTTCGAGATATTTTTCCCTATATCCGGTTGAAAGTAGGCCACATGCGGCCCGCGGGTCGTTTGTCGTGCATCACGAAATAGATCAGTTTCCCACTTGCATGAATCTCACAAATAGAACTTTTCAATTAAAGAATAAGGGATCCATTTATATTAGACCGATATTGATTTTCCCAGACTCTTTTTCCGGTAGACAGTTTCCTTCCAGCCCTTTAATTCCTAGCTGGAGATTCTTCAGGCATCAAGCAGTGATAGAGCTTCTATATTTCCATCTGGAGTGATTCAATTCAGTTGTTGCTGATTGTTGTCAGACGAAAAGAGAGCCAGGCAACAACATTGACCCTGTGAGAGAAATCCCCCAGACAGGCTGAACAATCTGTAGACATGTCAGGGTCTTTTCTGCCTGTACTGTAATATGTGATACTAGATGCAAGGTGATGAGCCTTTTATCTGGGCAATGGCAGTCGTCAAAACGTCACAGCTTTCAGTTTTCGGTCGCTGCGTTTCTTGCAAACGTATCCGCATTCTTAAGGTGATTCCATTGTGTACGAGTCATGATGGAAACGTCGAGGGAAGGAGTCCTAGAATCACGGGGGACTCGGTCACCAGGAATTTCCATATGTTGATGAGTCGGCTTTGGCTACGTGGGATGCGTGCCGTGCTAACAAGGGGCCCCCTTTCGCCCACGTCTGTTGAAACAACCATTCTAACGCCCACCAGTCGTTCCGTTGCCAATTAGAGTTCTCAGAATCTATTCATGCCTCCCTCGTGGCCGTAAAGGTGCTGAAATGTCCGAGGATTCCTTCAGTGCATGTCTCGAATATTTTCATCCACTCATCCCCTTTTTCAGACGAAAGAAAGAGGAGAAAGGATCCTCTTAACGAGCTGAGTTCCACTGGCCGAGCAGAGACCGGATATTAAAGTAGGAAATTCACGTGACGATCGACACAGATGCCTAATGGAAGTCTCTTGCATCGTGGTCAGTATTTTTTGGCTAGCACTCAATTTAGAGTGCCATAGAGCTGATGTCCTCTGCCGAGAAGATGCCCTTAGCGCATGTCACATCTCATAGCGCTTAAGTCTCTGGGAAGAATTGTAAGGACATGTGCATCGCCGCAGGAAATGCAATTTCATCTCTTGGATGTTTTGCGCATCGATTCTGAACTTCCCTCCCATTCGATTTTCTGTTGAGTTCAGAGGAATTTTGAATGATTCAAAAATCCCAAGGAAAGATGGTAACATTTCTTCTCAGCTTAGCAAGAATCAGAAGGTAAATGTTACAATGAAAGTCTGACTCCGTTTACACCCCCTTCTCAATACTTGTATTATCTTAGCACTTAACCAGGTAAAATGACATTGGTTCGCCCGAGCAACAAATCGATAATGCGAGGTGGCAACGATCGGGTCTTCGCAACGAACTAACAGATTAATGGGTTACGACAGTGTGAACAAGTGATACGAATAATTTGACTTAATGAAGTGCTTATTACGAGGCAGACGTGTAAGTAATGCCTCCGTGCATGTGATTGATTGCAGAGGACGCGTGCGAGGCGTGGCTGAAATGCGACGCGGAGAGGAAGTTAAAGGATTTAACCCTCGAGCGGCAACAGCCGGATTGCCCCTGCCGAGAGCCTTTCGGTGGCTGGAGCCGGGAGAGCGAGATCACGTGGTCGCGCATGCTCACCGACCACCTTCCGGGCCTCCACCTCTCCGCTTCCACGTGCTACCGGTCGCTGTCCTCCCAGGGGGGCACGGGTCCGTCTTCGCAACTCTGCTGCTTTGACAGGTAGAGAACACGCCTTCGTAAATAATCTGGCCCTTTCCATCTGCAAGGAACTAATCTTTATTCAAGTCTGCGTTGCATGCAATCATTTTGTTCTCTCTCTCACGTCGCGGTCATTCTTTTGTTTTATCCCGTGTCCTCCCGGTCATGTCTCATTACCTTTCACTCCATATGAGAAACAGAAGGCAAGACATGCAACTGCCCTGCGGATGAAAACGTACTTTGGTCACGAATCGCATTCGTTATACCCTTTCCCGTCAGATTAAATCGTGTTTTTTTTTTTCCTGCCTTCCAGGTTTGGCCGACTGTTGACGAGAGGTGCAAGAGCAGGATCGGCACTTTTTGTCAGTCCGGATGTATCGGAATCCCTACACCAAATCCTCGACGTTCTTCCGAGGCTCGCCTGCAAAGGAGACTTTACCCGGTTCGCTTCTTCTCTCTTTCTCTTTCTCTTTGTCTTTCTCTTTCTCTATATTGCTTCGTTGATTAACCGTAGTTGCGAGAGCGAATGCGAGAAAAAAAAGGCAAAGAGGGAAAGGAGGAGAATCTCTCCATCTTGATAAGGGACGACGACAAGTCCTGTCTGGCTTATCGGGAGCGCTGAAATGAGGAGAGGGAATGGAATTTCACCCTTCTCATTAATGGGCTTAACATGTGCATGATTGCACACCCCTGACGTTTACGACGTTCCTTGACTCCATGGGGGCAAGGACGACTGGATGATCGTAAATTTTAACCCTTTTTAACGAACTTGGGCGACCTCCTCACACGGGCATGTGTCAGAGGCCCCCATGACATTTCCCGTCACTTTTATGAATTTTTCATGGACTCGACGCTGCGATATAAGTGAGGCGCCTTCAGACGGGCAGAGTAGAAAAACCAGGGTTGGAAACTATCTTTCCGTCTTTAACGCACTGTGATCAACATAGTGACTAGTCGTAGGATTCTTCGCGTCCAAATGAGAAGCGCAACGTATGTCTACAAGCGACTTCCACCATACACGTGAGACATGTAAGGACCCCGCACGAAGAGAGGAGACACGATACGTGCCCTGCTAGGGTGCATGAATGGGGCTCATAACGTGGGAGCACTCATGCTGCGATCGTTAGAAAAAGGACTGAAAGGCCTCTTCGTGTTGTCTCCGCTCACCACGCTCTACAAAGATCTCATAGTGCTATGATCCATAATAAAGTCCATGAAAGTACCTTGGTAGTCACGCGAAGGATGTATTAGCGGGATTGAAACTCCTATCGCTTTTTTTCTCACTCTCACTCCCTTGCGATTGCCCTACGTATAGGACGAGATACGGAAACGCTCCTCATGAAAGGCCCTACGAAGCGAGGTTATCACGAACTTCCTTCGCGCTGGAAAGGCAGGAATTGAGCGAGGATATTGCACTCGCTCAATTCCTGCTCTCGAGGATATTGCACTGATATAAAACAATGGAGCTGACCGCATTGGAGTGGAATTAATCATATCGTCTGGGAACTTCGTGCAAAAGGGTAATCCCCGTTCTTGCCTGCTATTCATTTATTACGAGAAAACTTTTGCTACCGTACCACATATAGAATGCGTAAGAGTCGCTGAAAGGCATGGAAGCTTTTCGTACGAGTGTCCAAGTATAGAGAGAGAGGTCCATGGCAGGAGTGAAAAATGATCTGCACTCTTAATGGGTGCGGGAATGCGATTAGGTCGTCAGTCCTTCGTATCATTATCTTTCATTACTGCCTGGAATAAAAAAAAAGAGAAAAAATAAAAGAAGCGGTTTTGACATCCACTCTTACTAATCCCACCAGGATCCACCTGAGACGGCCGCCGAACAACGGTCTCAATTGCTCGCCGAACCCAGGGGACGAGGAATTCTTGGATGAGATCAACCAAGCCAGCTATTACTGATCCCCTTCCCTTTCCCATTTTGATCTCTTTTGTTCCACGAGGGAAGAGAGAATAAAGGAAAGCCTTGTGATACTCCCGTCATTATGAGCCTTCGGCTCCATTGTATTTTCTCTCCCCGGTTCCTTGACATGCTTCTCCCATTCCCTCCTGTCTCTTTTCTCATCAGGGTGACACAATCACGTAAATATAGACTAGTAGAATCCACGTGCTCGTGCAGACGAATCCAAGAAAATTGGAAACGAAACGTGCCGCCCTATCGTGCTGTAGATTGGAAATCGGCGCAACTCACGCGATATTTTTTTGTGTAGCGCTTCCAAGAGATAACCGAGACGCGAAATCTGGTTCTCTTCATCGGAAAGCCTATATCACTCGTGACTCGAGTTTTTTCACGAAAGCTGATTGGACCGAGGGGAAGAGAGGAAAGGAGTGGTGGAATGTAAAACGAGAACGAGCTTCCGGAATCCCCGATTCCGAACACGTCCGTACAAAGTTGAGACAGAGAGAGAAAGACTTTGTGTGTGTATGTGTGTCGTCTCGGTCTTGGTCTCGGTGGAAGGATCGGATCGATGGTGAGGGAATTTCCACTGGGATCGCACAGTTCGGGCGAAGATGGAGATAGTGCTCGGATCACTTCATCTCCAGGCCCAACTTATTCCTCCGAAGCCTTTCACTTTCATGCCCCGGCTTCCCCCTCCGAGACAAAGGTGAAGAGTGCTTCCTTCCCTCTATTCTTGCCTTAATCTTCTTATCGAATCTGCACGCCTCGATATGAGACATTCCCGAAGGAACTGACAAAAGGCGTCATGAGTCTTTCCCACAGAAGGCGAGACCTTCGTCATTCGACGTGAAAGATCTCTTTCATGAATGCAAACGAGTGATGGGTTGATGTTAGTCAGGTAACAAATGGAAAGGGTCCGTAAGGAGGAGAGGTCATACATATTACAGTTACCAGCAGACGAGAGAGTGAGGGATAAAAGGGTTCCTCAGAGAAGCATTTCATCAAGGACATTCATTATCGTCGCTCTAAGTCCTGGCCCGGGATATATCGATTTTATTCCATCCTTTCGCTCTCTTTTTTTTTTCTTTCTCTCTCCTACATATCTAGAGAGAGAGAGAGAGATATTAAAAAGTTCCCTCCCGGATCAAAGTCTTTTCTCTTGATCCTTTGCCCTTCATCTTTTTTCCTTTGTGTTTGCTGCCTCCTTTTTGATCATCTCGTGATCCTCAGCAAACACCAACCTTCATATTCGAGCACATGCCCGGGCAGGTTTTTATTATGAAACTTGGATGAATATCAGACAAGAAGGATGGGACGATTGGAGTATGCGAGCTGGAAAGATTATATTTTTCTTCGTCGATATGAAATTTCGTCTCAGCATAACCCTTCACCTTTTCCCAGCTTGGGTGTTAGCAGTACGGTGACCTAGATCTATTAGCACCCCAGAACCTATGGATAGCCATCGGAAATGGAGCACGTAAGTCATGTCTATTTATATGTAGCAGAAAGAGAAATTTACTGTGTATTGGCTTGTTTTACAACCCTGAAACGAACCCTTCGCGTCTCAGATAAAGTGTTCATCATGATCTTTCTACAGGTCCACCAATATTGGCAACAGTGACGGATACAGAAAATTAACAATAGGGGGCGGTTTCCTAGTCTCCTCCCATTCTCCCCTTCCCCACCTGCCACCACCTTCCGTCCTATCGCCTTTTTCATTTTTCATCTGGGGTAAAAACCTGAATATCCATTTCACAGACTCCAATAAAAGTTAACTTATGTGCTTTTTAAATTAAAATAATAAAATGCGAACCTGGCCATAGGGGAGGCGGTCCCCCCCCCCCCGGATCCGCCACTGATCCGACAATCGGCGTGGGTTTTTAGTTTTTTCCTTCAGAATGTGGAGCGCATTCTTCATTCCGGCTTTTTAAATCCATCATTCCTTTTTTTTTCAAATATACAAATTAGTACAGCTTGTTCCCGGCATAAATGACCACCCACGCACCCTAATCTTTCCCTGAGGTAAAAGACGAAGGGATATTCCAGCTCGGTGCCAGGGTGGCCTTACTTACGCAGAACAAACGGTATCTTATCTTCCGTTTGAAAATATTGCCTCCCATTGCAACTCTAGTTTACATCCGTGATATGATTAAATGCATCACATGGAGTTCCTTACAGTACATATTTGTCAAGGTAATAAATAAACTGCTGCTATCGTTACTCATGACATGCCTAACCGGTTTCAATTAGATGGAAGCGCCGAGGTAATGTGACGATATGTACGAGTGGGAAAAAAATGCTGAGTACTTTGCTATCTGAACTAAATTCGGGAATGGGAGATAAAGACAAGGAAACAAGAATTAATGACCTTCATCTTAATATGAAATGTGGATAAAGGCGAGAGATAAAGAAGAACAAAGCAAGCATTCTGATTTTCTTTCGAAACCTATTAAATAAAAATAAAATCATAGGGGTGCTTCGAGTGAGGATGTTTGGTTTCTTGTAGCAACGAGCGATAGGAAAGACCAAGATTTGTTGCATACTTGGGAATGGAACATTTGTTCGAAAACGCCTGAAGTGAAGAGAGCCGGTGGCAAAGCATGGTGAGTCGGCAAGCGGCGAAAGGGTGGAGTGGTCTGAATACGCCCCCCCCCCCCCCCCCCCCTCTCCCTAACCCATGGACTCCAGAGACATGAATCAGGCAGACAGGTAGGTTTCTCTTTAATTTCCCTCGTGTCTCTTGGGGTGATGGTTAGGGATAGCACGGTTCAGCGTATCGTAAGGAAGCCGGGCTCCCACGAGAGGGATTCATGTCTGAAACGAGCAGTGTTGTGTTGGCCTCCTTTCGCCGATCTATGCAAGTGTGTGCGCGCATGTTTAGTCCTCATACATGTATAATGTTTAAGCACCGGGTGAATTCCGTGAGTGAGAAACTAACGGCCCCCGTAACCACTAACAAGAGCATATCCCATCACTTCCACGAGAGCGAAACGTAAGCATATTCAATCCATCTTCCTCCTAGCGACTCGAGTTAATTTCAAGTCTGATTGATTCGTTTTTTTTTTTTTTTCTTTCATCAGGTGAAACATAGCAACCGATGTCGTCAGGTAAAGAAAAAGGAAAGGCAAGAGGGATGTCAGATAGTTCTTAGATCGAAAACGAAAGAAAAAAACAGTCCATCAAGTGCGACTTTTTGAACTTTTGAAGTATTGAAAATTATCTGTTGCAGAAGAGATTAACGTTCGTTGGTATCTTGTGGTGCGGCATTCTTGCTGGAGAAGCGAAGCCCGTTTCTTGATATGTGACATTTTTTGAGAATTCGAAGAGCTTTTCTGTTCCACCCTGTCTTTAAAAGGTTCCAGCACTTCTATGGTTACTGGAGCTCTCTTTCTTGTTCGTTCAAACTTTTTTATTTAATTAGCTGGATATGCAGAAATGACAAAGTTCACACTCATAGTTTACCACTGACTAAATGGAGGCATTGTGGTACATTTTGAGAACTTCGGAGGAGATGAAATGTTGGTATCATGAATCCATAGAAGTACTAAGAGCGTTTCCTTACTGGACCGTTGATTCTCCCCGAGTTTCAGCTCAGCAGTTTATCGAGGTTTATGTGCTTCTCTGGGGAGTCTTTCTTGATCAGTGTGTGGATCACGCGCCATGCTCCTAAGCTTTTGTTCTTAGAGAGTTTGAGAGAATCTTGTTACTTGGCTTCCTTTAACCTTTCCGAATCTCGTGTGATGGTGGTTTGCAGTCGAAAGGAGGCAATGATTCATACAGATACAATAGATTCGTAAACTGATGCACTCAGTCGTCATTCGACTCCCCATTGGATATTTTGTTTCTCCCCTCCGGGTCGTCTGCTAAATTCGTTTCACGCGTTCTTTTTTTTCATGTCACTGGGGATCTTGGGCTTGTATTCGCTCGCACTTTTGAGTCTCCGATTCCTTCCCCGCCTAAACATCCGTTTTTCAGAAAATATTATATTATTATACCTTTTATAACCCACTTCTAGATTACTTGAATTAAGAATCCGGTGTGTTTTCCTTTTTCCATTGTTGAATTTCCATATACAGATAGTTAATATAGGCGTTGCAAGGAAGGAAATCGGACGATCATTTGGCATATAGGATAAAACACCGAATGATGAGCCACGGCGCAGGAAAATTCCAAAAACTAGGCATTTGTAGCATGAATACCTCTGAAGTGTGTATGTGCTTGCATGCTGCTAACATGTCACAACAGGCGTGCTACGGAAGCTTAGCTTTTGGAATTTTTATGCGCTGTGGCCCATCACTGGGCATTTTACCCTATACGATGAGCATACGTAGGTTCTGCCTCCGGAAGACTCATTTTCAGCCACCTGTATCAGGATCCCAACGTATCTCCTTTTATTTATCATTTGGGAGGCAAGAAATGATTCATCAGCGACCGAAATCCGTGCTGACAATTGAGTTTCGGCAGGAATAGCCACTAGGCCGCGCTTTTCAGCCCCATCATTGCGACAAGAATGAAAAGGGAATCAAATCACAAGTATTCCGTAGTGTGTCGGCCTCTGTTGGTCGGCCTGTTGGCACAGGCATCGTGGCAGCATTTCTTTATGCTAGAAGGCGTCAGTTTCAGGTTCTTCCTGCAATAGATTGGATTGGATGTAAAATTTCCAGCGATTCTTTAGGTTACCGTTGCTTGAAAGATGAGAATCCATGCCTCTTCGTACAAAAGAGTCCCTATAACAGTCGCGGAAAGAACCTGGAATTAGCTCATGCAATCCACCCCATTCCAAAAAAAAATTGGAACTGGAACCCTCTTGTAGAGGTTTCCAGTTTTTAATGCTTTCATTTTTTATCCTATGGACCCATGTCGGAATTAAGCTGATTGCGCGGCCCCGCTTCTATGTCGTGTAAGGCTAATTACTGCAGTAAATTATTTTTGTGAGAGTATTAAAACAATTGTCTGAAAGATAATTTAAAACCTTTTAGTGCCACAGGAACTATATACAGGGTGGCGCAAAAGTCGCGCCCCATGGGGAATTTGAATAAAAAGAATACAGTTTTTTCTCGATATTGTTCATAAAATTCTGCAG